GCATCTATGTTCAGTACTAATTTGGAAATGACAATGGCATTGGAATTAGATAGTAATAGCTTTGAATTTTTAGATTGTTTTGAACAATATATTTATTTTAATAATATTGATTCTTCCTATCCATGAGCACGGGATGTTTTTCCATTTGTCTGTGTCATTTACAATTTTTTAAATCAGTGTTTGTAGTTTTCCATGTAGAAGTTTTTCACTTCCTTGGTTAAATGAATTGCTTGGAATTTTTATTGTGGCTACTTTAAATGGGATTGTATTCTTGATTTGGTTCTCAGCTTGAGCATTTTTGGTGTATATAAATACAGCTGATTTCTGTGCATTAATTTTGTTTTCTGAAAGTTTACTGAAATTATTCATCAGGTCTGGGAGGCTTTTGGAAGAATTTGTAAAGTTTCCTAGGTAGATCTAGTCATCAGTAAACAGAGATAATTTGACTTCCTCGTTTCCAATTTGGATGCCTTTTATTTTTACCTCTTGCCTGATTGCTCTGGTTAATACTTCCAGTACTATGTTGAACAGGAGTGGTGAGACTGGACATCTTTGTCTTGTTCCAATTCTTAGAGAAAATGCTTTTGACATTTTCCCATTAAATGTGATACCAGCTGTGGGTTTGTCATGTGTGGCTTTTATTATTTTGAGTTATGTTTATTCAATGCCTAGTTTATTGAAGGTTTTTATCATGAAAGGATGTTGGATTTTATTAAATGCTTTTTCTGTGTCTATTAAGATAATAATATGGTTTTGTTTTTAATTCTGTTTAGTGATGAATCAGATTTATTAATCTGTATTAAAACACCCCTGTGACCCCAGAATAAAACACTTGATTATTGAATTATGTTTTTAAAGTGCTGCTGGATTCAGTTTGCTAGTATTTTGTTGAAAATTTTTGGAGATTGTTCATGTGGGATTTCTGTCTGAGGTTTCCTCTTTTTTTTTCTTGGGTCCTTGCCAGATTTTTGGTATCAGGAAGTCTCTCTTTGTCAATTTTTTTGAACCCTTGCAGTAAGATGGGTACTAAACCTTTCTTGCAGAGCTGGTAGAAGTCAGGTATGAGTCCACTCAATACAGGGCTCTTTTAGTGAGTAGATTTGTTATTACTGACTCAACTTCATAGCTCATTATTGTTATATTCAGGATTTAAATTTCCTCCTGATTCAATCATGGGAGGTTGTATCTAGCAATTTATCCTTTTTCTCCCAGTTTTCTAGTTAGTGAACATAGTGTTCAATGATAGTCTTACATATATGTCTGTGGTATCAGTTGTAACATCATGGGTGTCATTTCTGGTGGAGCTTATTAAAATATTCTCTCTTTTGTTCTTCATTAATCTAGGCAGTGGTCCATCAATTTTGTTTCTTCTTAGGCATGCTGGTTCCTGTTTCTTCCTTCATAGTCGCTCATGAATGCCCACCTCAAGACTTTTATTTGTTCTCCCTCTACCTGAGAGATTCTTCCCCAAGTCTTCTTGTTGGCTGACTACATCTCATCTTTCAGAACACCCAATTCCATCTACCTTTTCAAAAAACCAACTTTACATTTTGTTGATACATCGTATGATTTATTTGGTCCCATTTCATTAAGTTCTGCCCTGATCTTTGTTATTTATTTTCCTATGCTACCTTTCCTATGCTCTAGTTCCTTGAAGTGCAATGTTACTTTTTTGTGTTAATGTGAGATCTTTCCAGCTTCTTAATACAGACATTTAGCACTATGCACATTCCTCTTAACATTGCTTTTGCTGTATCCTGGAGGTTACTGTGTCTATGCTGTGTATATATTTTCATTTGTTTCAATTTTTTTTTCTGACTTCTGCCCAATTTTGTTATTCACCCAAAAATCAGTCAGGAGCAACCTGTTTATTTTCCATGTCCTTGTGTAGTTTTGAGAGTTCCTCTTTGTATTGATTTCTACTTTTCCACACTGTTGTCTAAGAAAATACTCCATATGATTTTGATTCTTTTGAGTTTATTGAGACTTGCTTTGTGACCAAGTAGATGGTCAATTTTGGAGAATGTTTCATGCATAGATGAGAAAAATGTATATTCTGCAGTTGGTGAGTAGAATGCTCTATAGCTATATATTAGGTCAATTTGGTCAAGAGTTTAATTTATGTCCAGAGTTTCTTTGTTAGTTTTCTACTTTAATGATCTGTTTAGTGTTGTCACTGGGGTGTTGAATTCCCACACTATAGTATATAGCTATCTATCTCTTTTTCTTAGGTCTAGCAGTGGTTCTTTAATACACCTGTGTGTTCCGGTGATGGTTGTGTATATATTTAAGATAGTTATATGTTCTTGCTGGTTAACCCTTCTATCATTATATAATACCCTTCTTTGATTTGTTGTGTTTTGTTTTACTGTTGTTGATTTAAAGTCTGTTTTATACAGTAAAAAATAAAAATGTCTGGTCTTTTTGGTTTTCTATTTGCATAACATATTTTTCTCTTACTTTGAGCTTGTGGGTGTCATTATTCATTAGGGGTCCTTTGAGGGCAGTAGATGGTTGGGTTTTTATTTTTATCCAATTTGCCAGTCTATATCTTTTAAGTGGAGCATTTAGGCCATTTACATTCAAAGTTAATATTGACACGTGAAGTTTTGTTCCTGTCATAGTGTTTTTAGGTAGTTGCTTTGTAGTCTCAATAGTGTATTTGCTTTATAGGATATGTGTACTTTGCATTTATGAGTGCTTTTGTTGCAGCAAGTTCATCTTTTCATTTCCATATTTAGAACTACTCTGAGCATTTTTTATGGCGCCAGTCTAGTTTGGACAATTGCCCTTAGCATTTCCTTGTATGGGAATGACTTGATTACTCATTTATTTATTAAGCTTAGTTTGGCAGGATATAAAATTTTGGCTGGAATTATTTTTCTTTAAGGAGTCTAAAAGTAGGCTCACAATCTCTTTTGGCATGTAAGGTTTCTGCTGGGAAATCCACTGTTAGCTTGATGGGTGTACCTTTATAGGTGATTTGACCCTTTTATCTAGCTGCCTTTAAGATTTTTTCTTTAGTGTTGACTTTGAATAGTCAGATGATCATATGTCTTGGTGAAGTTTTTCTTGTACATTATCTTACAGGTGTTCTCTAAATTTCTTGTATCTGGGTGTCTACCTTTCTGGGAAGACTAGGGAAATTTTCCTGAATTATTCTCTGAAATATATTTTTTTTCAATTTGCTTACTTTTTCTTCTCTCTCAAGAATATTTTATAAGTTTTGGTCATAGCTTTGGTCAACTTAGGTAATCCCATATTTCTCTAAAGCTTAGTTTAATTAAAAACAATTTTTTTTCTTTATTTTTGTCTAACTAGGTTAATTCAAAAAACTGATCTTCAAGCTCTGAAAATTTTTCTTCTGGTTGGTCTAGTCTATTAGTAAAGCTTCCAACTATATTTTGAAATTTCTTTAGTAAATTTTTCAATTCCAGAATTTCTACTTGTTTTTCCATTAAATATAGCAATCTCGTCTTTTATATCCTGAATCATTTTTCTGGATTCTTTGCTTTGATTTTCAATTTTTTCTTGAATCTCATTGTACTTCCTATTGGATTCTTTATCTGTCATTTTAGAATTTTCATTTTTGTTAGGATCCTTTGCTGAAGAATTGGTGTCTTCCTTCAGAGGTGTCAACACTCAGGTTTTTTGTTCTGCTAGTGTCTTCACACTGATTCCTTCTCATCTGAAGCAACAGTTGCTTTTATTTTTTTTATTTGCTATCATTTGAATGGAATTTTCTACATTTTATTCTTTTTTCCCTTGAGGATATGACTGTGGTGTGTATTGAGTATGAATATTTGGCTTCATTTTTGGGTGCTTTCAGGGGGCCACGTCTCTATATAGGTTTCTTGGTTGTGGATACCCTCTCTGTTGTGGTTTTCTCACATGCTGCTTGTTGTAGTGATGTATTGGACATATGAGTTGATGCACTATCTTCTACAGGGCTGAGACTGCACAGGTCTCATAAAGCTTATCTCATTCACTAGCACTGGGACCTTCTGACAGCAGTTTTTTATTGGTGGTACAGTTCAGTATTCCATGCAGTAGGTGTCACTTAAGAGTAAAAGCCACCCACTCTCCAGGACCCTGTGAATGAGGGGAGGAACCTACCCTAATAGGAGAAGGAGGGAATCAGCATATTGGGGTATGCTGAGATATTGGGGGCAGGGTTGAGGCACTGCACTAGCTGCTTATCCTGGGCAAGTAGGAACATGCTCTGCTTTCATATCAGGGCCCTGTTGCAGGGTTTGTGACCTTTAGTTCATATAATCATTGTCCTCTGCCTCCTATCTGTGATGAAGAACCAAAGAAATTCCCTTCTGGTGGCTACTACAAAATTGGTTTCAGGGCTAAGCCTCTTCCCCCAGTCCAGAGCAGACAGACAGCTCTGTGATTTGTCTGCCCTTTATGGCCAGGATAGTACTGCCTTATGTAATGAGCAGGAGATGGGCCCAACCCTTCACTCTGTTGTGTCTGCAACAGTGGATGGGGGCAACAGGAGATAACCTCTTTCTCATTTCTATTTCCAGCAGTCAATTCCACCCCCTTCATCAATTGACTCCATGTCCATGTTTCCTTTGTCCCAAAGGCAGATTGGAGGGCTGTGCTCCCCTCTTCCCTAAAGGCAGCCCACACTGAGGGCTAGATCTTTAAGGAACCCACAGCTCCTCAGGGATCTCCTGGCACCATATGGTTGTCAAAGTCAGAGCAGGTCATGGGCTATGTTTGTGAGGTATCTGGTGATGTGGCAACCTAAGGGCTGAAGTCCCCTGGGGAGAACAGTGGCCTATAGTACATGTACAACCAGTGTGGCACCTGCCAGTTCAATTTGTGTATGGGAATACCTGCATGAACTGACCACCCAATTTATTGTCCTTAGCAAGGTCCCATCACCACTAACATCCTTGTCTGGATTGTGAGGGCAGAGGGGCTCCCCAACACTTTGGAGATCAGATTGTCACACAGGTGAGGAGACAAGAGAAGCCATGACTTACCCTTTTCATGGTCCAGGTTTCTAGGGAGACAATCTTTGCCAGTCTCTTGCTACTTTCCTCTTTTGTGCCCCAGGTTGTTCCCATGGATGCTCCAACAGGTCCTTGCTCCACTCCCTCAGATTTCCATTTAAATCATGGCCATTCGCCTGTAACTTTGATCTTTCTGAGGAGAGCTAGCATCCAACATCCATAGTCAGCCAACTTGAGAAAAAAAAAAAGAGAAAAAAACTATGAAAACTTTTAAGGTAAAAGTAATTTCGTGATTAGCCTTCTTTGTGCTGGTTTTCATTTATTCTGAAATTAGTTTTAAAGCAACCCTTACACATACACACAAATAAAAAAGTATTTAACAGTGACAATCAGTGTAATATACTTTAGAAATATTTCCCTTCCAAAGACATAGCATGGATTTATTGAATGCCATTTGAGAAGATCCTTGAGAGTTTTATAATTTAAGTTTCAAGTAGGAATTATACTCTGTGTCTCTCAGCAATATTCATGACAGGTCTTACTGCAGAATGTCATTCAGTAAAATACTCTGTGCATGAGTTTGAATGTAATAATTTTACTCATAAAAAATCAGTGCAATAAATCTACTGATTCAGCATTAAAATTTACCTCAAAAAAAGAAATAATTTGTCTTGTCAAAATACCATTTCACCACTAACTAGACACTTTTTCAAAGTCTCACTTTTCTAAAGGATTAGATAGAGCTCTCATCCCATAGGATAATCAGAAAGCTTGATAAATCAGTGTTGTTTATATTCAAAGTATATTTGAGACTTCAGAGTTTATCAATTGCAAAGGAGAATTAAATGAATAATTTTTCAGTTAATGTTAACATAATTTGTGGAAATCATCCTATGCTCATATCATATGCAGTTTTTTAGGGGGTGGGGTTAGTATTAATTAAACTGTATATATAAAATTTGGGCTACATGCATTATCTCATTCAATCCCGACAACACCCGTATCAAATAAATATATTTTTCTTTTTCTCATGGATGTAGAAAGTGGAATTTATATATGCTAATGAGTTAACTGTCTTAGTTTATCAAATACTTAATTTGTGCCAGGAACATTCCTAAGCATTTTATACATGTTACCTAATGTTATGGCTACAACCAGTTAGGGAAATACACATACAGACAGAGTGATAAACACACAGGCAGAAAATACATTTTACATCAGAGAGTTACCTGACCAAGGACTACACTTCTTTTGCTTTTCTCTAAGACCAACCCAATGATAATTCCTTGACTTAACTATTTTTGTTTACTAATGTAAAGCAGAGATTAGGTGCTCAATAATTTTGTTTTGAAAATATGACAAATTAATAGGAGAATGAATGAATAAATATTGAATACTTCTATTTTACTTCCCATACAGTTAATATAATGTATTTTAAAATACTGACTTAAGAAATTTAATTAGAGAGCTCAATTTATTTGAGATATCCCTATGTTTTACAATCAAAACTGAGTAAAGAATTTTATAAATTATGAACTATGTAATCAAAAAGTGATTTTTGAATGTTAATTTGTGTGTGAGTACATATCTTTATCTGTTTTGGTTTACTCGTGCCTGCTTCCCCTGACACCATGATTTATAGTTACAAGTGCAAGTGAGATGTGAGTTGTTACATGTGCACACTGAGATTGACTGTGAAAATTGCATGTAGCTACGGATTAATACAGTCAGAAGTATGGGATTTTCTGTTCTTTTTGTACTCTACTGACAGATGGACCCACTGTTTTGCTGGAAAGTGGAGCCAATTTGTCTGGCTTTGAAGAAAACAGGAAAGAAGATATAGTAGGGACACTTTAATGGTGAAGAAAGAGCAAGCCATTGACCCAGCTAATAAAAGCTATTGCTTATAAGTACCGCGCGCTAACTGATTGCGCCACCGGACGGGCAGGGGAACATCACACACCGGGGCCTATTGTGGGGAGGGGGGAGGGGGGAGGGATGGCATTGGGAGTTATACCTGATGTAAATGACGAGTTGATGGGTGCTGATGAGTTGATGGGTGCAGCACACCAACATGGCACATGTATACACACGTAACAAACCTGCACATTGTGCACATGTACCCTAGAACTTAAAGTACAATAAAAAAAAGTTATTGCTAATATTAGTTTATCATGTATTAGATGCAAGTTTATACTGTTTATCACCATTTGATGTTTAAATTTTGTTTATTGGAGCTCAAAATTGAGGTGGAAGTAATGCTTTCTGAAAAAATGAATTTAAAACTTTTACATTGTGGAAAGAAAAAGAACTCTGCGGACCTATCAGTTTGCTGGGGCTGCCATTTGAAAGTAAACCAATTCAGGTTGCTTGAACAACAAAAATTTACTTCTTCATAGATCTGGAGGCCAGAAGTCCAAGAGCAAGGTGTCAGCAGGGTTGGTTTCTTCAGAGACTTCGCTTCTTGGCTTGTAAATGGCTGTCTTCTCCTTGTGCCTTTACATGGTCTTTCTTCTGTCTGTGTCATAATCTTTTTTTCTTCTAAGAATATCAGTCCTATTGGACTAGGCCCACATCAGTGACCTCATTTTACTTTAATCACCCTTTAAAAAATCTTATCTTTAAATGAGAAGCTGAATGTTAGAAACTCAATATATGAATTTGGGGAAAGGGACAATTCAACTCATAATAGGAGATGGTGTAAAGAATCACCTGGCTAAGTCATCTGATTTGTACTAATCATCTTTTGATGTAGACAGGTACCTCAGCCTTAGTACTGAGGAGGGCATGGGGAGAGGTAATTTCATAGCATCCTGTCTCTGCAAATCCCTCTGGAGAAAACTGCAGAGAAATATATTCAATTTAGGGAGAAAATTGACAATACATTATATTATTATTGATTCGAATAAAATGGGACATAGAAATGCATGAAATATCTGGTGAAATATTTTAAATGCATAAAGAGTAATTTATATTGTGTTCTAATTCAATCTGGCTAAAATTATTACTAAAAATATTGAAAAAATCAGTTTGAAGGAAATGTATACAATCAAAATTTTGTGATAAAATTTTCATATCTACATATTTTTAGACAATGACATCTGTAATATTATTATAAATGTTTAGCAATTCCAAGCTTGAGGCAAACTCCACAGATAGATTAACTGTATTTCATTAGGTGATAGAAAAGGAGATGATCATCGATTGACAATATTTCATCCAACACTTTTCTACATTTAAACTCAAGAAGAATGCATCATAAATACAGTATGCTTTCTTAACACCTTATACTACTAGTAGCTTTCATTTTTTCTTTCTTTTTTTCTTAGTCTAATCTTTATTCTATAAACTATTTTCAGTTGAGAATCTAATAAATATAAGTTGGAGAGATATGTTAGCAAATTGTTCACTTTTAACTAAAACACAAGAGGGCACCCTTTCCTTCTGTTAGAACATGTCCTCTGCTTCTAAATTATATGCCATGGAAATATCATAAAGGATTGCCATGTAAAAATAATATTAATTTTATTTTGCATATTTATGGGCTCGCTTTTGTATTTAACCAGTAATAATTTTGCTGATCCCAAAAGTCACAGCATATTATTTTAAATAATATGAACATGATTTTTAATGGAAATGAATTCTAAGCCAGAAATGTCAGTGTCACTGAGCTATTCAAGAGCCAGATGTCTCCCTAGTGTCATGATAGGGAACAAAAATAAGGCTGGGTTTGGCATGACTCGTGGTGTTTATTAAGTATAATTTATCGTAAATTTCTGTGTTTAGGATTAGGAATTATTTGTACTGAATACTGAATACACTGAATGTGTATTCCTATTTTCTATGTTCTCAAATGAATAGCACACTACTGCTAGGTTAACCCAGTTTTAAACAGAATGTAAGCAAGACTGGGCCTAGAGGAAAGAACAAAAGTTGAAAATTCAGTGAGGACCCAGCAAATAATAATTGCCAATATTTATTTAGTGTCTGTTTTTGTCGATCACTTGTGTAAGCATTTTCATTACAATATTTAATTGATACTACATTGAGTCATTATTTACTATTTTCATTCTCATTTAATATAGAATAAAATATAGTATTATAAGAACAAATAAACTAACATGAAATGTGTCTTTGAATTCTGCTCTCCCTCATCAGAAACCTAGGGCAAAAGGGAGCTGCTACAGCTGCAATTTTGGCTGGGCAACAAGACTTGCCACCAGGGTTAGCTTGTGCTGACCTGGTCTGCATGTGCTATTACTGGTTTACCAGCCTGCTTCCCTGAGATAGTGGTGCATCAAGACCCCCTCTGCTCTAACCCCAGGCTGAAATTCAGGCATTTGGAGCATCATTTGCCTAGACCATCAGCCTGAGGTGCCCCGCTCCTCCTGGACATAAATCAAGGTATAGTGGGGCCCTCTTTGCTCCATGCTTAGGCAGATCTCCAGGCATTTGAAGCAACCACTCAGCTGTATTAGCCCAACTCACCCCACCCTTCCTGGATGTAGATCGCAGTGAGTAGGGTTCTCTCTGTTCCATGTCCAGGCATACCTCCAGGCATCTAGAGCACTTGCTTGCCTGGATGACAGCCTCATCTTCTCCACCCTTCCTAGACATAGATAATAGATCATGGTTCAGGGAGGAGCTTTCTGCTTCATGCCCAGGCAGGCCTCCAAGTATTTGGAGTAATCTTTCATCTGGTTCATCAGTCTCATATGCCCCACTCTTCCTGAGCTTACATCATGGGGTAGTGAGGTTCTCACGGCATCGTGGTGCAGTGAGCCCAGGCAGAGATCCAGGCATTCAGAGCACCTACTCACTGGGATTGGCAGCCTCTCTCACCCTACTCTTCTTATGCAGAAATCTTCTTGCATAGAGGCCCTCTCTACTCCAACCCAGGCCCATCTCTAGGCATCTAGAGCACCTGTTTGCCTCAAATAGTGGCCTGAGCTACCCCACACTTCCCGTGCAGAAATCCTGGTGCATGGAGGGGACTCTATCCTTGATATACAGGCAGATCTCCAGGCATCTGGAGCACTCACTATTCTAAAATTAGGAGTTTAGACCAGCCACCATCCCAGTGGAGAGAACTTGGGGCCAGAAAGGCTTCCTAGATCCACATTTAGACACATTTGTGGGTGCTTGGTACCCACCCACTGAATTCTTCCTCAGTTTTGGTGCTTATGCTGGCAATTGGGGGACCTGTAGGTGAACCTGCCTAGGCCAGCCCT